TATTTTCTTACTTTTCAAATTACTGTTTTGATAAATGTGCTTAGATGTGTTTAGTACAGTATATGCTCTTCTTGTTTTATCCGGTTCATTTTGTGTTTAAATGCAAAAAAAAAAAACATATTTAGGTGTCATTTTTTGGGGCCGGGAACCAATTAATTTGTTTTCCCTTATTTCTTATGGGGAAAATTTGATCACAACTCGAACTTTTTAGAATTCGATCTGTTGTTTAGGATCTTAATGAAATGTATATGATGTATGCAACAAGATGTGAGGCTGTGGATCTTGCTTGTGCATTTTGCTGACGACTGGGTTTATTTGATTGCGCACATGTACGTGTTCATTACGTGTTCATTTGTGTGTGTGTGTGTGTATGTGTGTGTGACTTTGGGGGGCATTGCACAGATTCCAGACCTCTTGTGATTGTCCCTTAATCATGGCTCAGCGTAGATTAACTCCAGTCCCACTTCTTCTTGATCTCTGAAGGCCTGGATGTTGGAACCAGCAGACACTCGAGGCAATGCCCCACAGGGACGCATATAGAGGTGCATAAGTATGTAGCATCATGTAATCGCCGTCTTTGCTTGCTCGCCATGTGAAAATGTGAATTGCGATTTACCAGAATGTGGTGAGAATTTCAGCACACCGGTACTAGCCGGGGGAGGTTCTTTGATGCAAATCCCCATGTGGGGGCGCTGTTCCGAGTAATGTGTGCTTCCTCTTTTTCAGAGAGCCACTGCTCCATCACAGGAAGACAACAGGGAGTGTGACACGTCGCCATTGTTGTGTCGTCCGCGGCCATGGGCTCCCGGTCCCCGTTGCCACGGAAACATGTCCCGTCTGGCATCTCCTGAGCAGCTGGGCGCTCCAGACTGGAGCTGTCAGATAGACTATTCACGGAAAAGTTCATATGCAAATAAAAGCACTTAAAAAGAGGGGGCAATAGGAGGCAGGCGACAGGAAGGACGCTAAATCAAAGCTTCTTGACGCGAAGGGAAATCACCCTTTTTATTACCTCTGTGGCTGACGGGTAGCTTCAGGATGTACCAGAGACCTTAGTCTTTGACTGCTCAGGAATAACCCCCCACCCATTTTGTCATGTTAGTAATTTTCATTTCGGAGTTTCCTTTCAAAAATCCCCTCTGGAAGATTTTTACTGCAAAGCGCCGTGCTGCAAATTGGCTGTGAAAATATGTTGCCTGGAATTAAATTAAATTGATTGATGGCTGACAATGAGGCCGCAGTTTACGGTCGCGCTTGTTCCCGTGGAGGGCTGCCGGAGCACGCAAAGTTATTCTGATGCTGGAAGCCATCTTGGATGATGACACAAAATGGTATGACAGAGAAAACTCTGGAATCTCTCTTCTGAAAGTGGGAAGGAGTCGCATTGTGGAGGCTGGAATTCCTGAGCGGAGATCTTAGCTGCCCCTCGTCCAGATCACTCCATGCGGATGCTCACGCTACCCTTTGCCACAGAGGCAAATCTTCAGGGCAATCAGATGTTTTAGACTGTCATCTTAATGTCATTTTAAATGATTCCTGTTCTCTCTCTCTCTCTCTCTCTCTCTCTGTGTGCTCAGTCCAGGCTGTTTCCGTTACCTTTTGAATTGGGCTAAAATGTATCCCTTTTTGTTGAAATGCTTAGCTGTATTGCTATTTATAGAAGTATTAGGCATTCAGATATAAAAAGAATGAACGATTGCAATACTTATTTGAAAGCTGTTTATATAATACATTTTTCCTTATTTATAAATCAATGTTTTCTCGCATCTGTACCCGCCGGCCCACACAGGAAGCTGACGCCGCTCCTCCAGTCCGTCGTCCCACTCGCGGGACCGCGCTCGCGTCCGTCCCCATCCACGTCGCTCCACGCCGCAGAGCCCTAATCAACTGTCAGCCCGTCTGCACCGCCCTCACTGCCGCTTGCTGGTGGCTCATGACAAGCATGAGAAGCCTTATTAAATAGAGCAGCCCACTCAGACCACATCTCCCAGCTTAGACTCTAAGTCATGGAAGGATTTTTATCCACGGCAAACTCAACATGACATTTTATATGGCGTTTGACATGATGTAACAGCAATTAATCTAAAAGCCGTGTCTCCTTTACACTTTCAGGATCCATTCCAAACCCATCATGATTTTATTTAATGAAGAATTCCCTTTGTTCTGATCTTTGTACTGATTCCTGACACTGTAATCCTGAATCAGTGGTAACAGTCAAGTGGTCATCATAGCTGACTGTGTCTATAGAGATCAGGACATTGTGTAATTTGATCATATTCCTACTCCTTCTCCTTTTCTGCTTGTCACTTCATGGAAGGCCCTGTAAGAATTACTCTCACTGGCATTCGCTAAACTTACTCAGAAGTAGCAGCATCTCCTTTGAAGTAAGGGGACGAAGGTTACTGCTGATATCTCTCCTCAACAGTACATCCTCACCGTGAATTCTCTGGACTTCATACCTGTGGACTTATGAATTTATTAAAGCTTCTCAGAACAGGAATACATGTAGAAATTAAAGGGGAACCAGAAAGGAAACCCAGGGCTGCCCAATGTGGCTCCTGACAGGAACAGTAACAGTCCTTCTTATGTAAACACTTCCCTACCTCAGATTAGTTCATTGATTATCAGCTCTGTTTGCTGGGCCCCACCAACCCCCCCCGACTGAGGATGGTGTTTTGTAGATGGACAAAGGACTAAATCCTCCAATCCATTACTCAATTCAGCCAAAAAAAAGGTATAGAGATGACTATTTTGTGAATGTCTGGGTCAGGGCTACAGGCGGACCACTATGCTGGCAGACAAAGAGCAGTCAGAGGTCCAGTGGAATTCTGGGCAAAATCCCGTTACCTGCAAGAGGGTCATTTCGAATGCTATCTAAGAAGAGAAACGATAGAGGGATAACTGGTTAGATAGAGGGGTAACTGGTTGGAAAAAGAGATAGATAGATAGATAGATAGATAGATAGATAGATAGATAGATAGATAGATAGATAGATAGAAACACAGTTTTGTGAAAGACATGAGCATTGACCTATGGGAGAAAATATTAGAGGTTTTGTGGCTTGTTCAATATTATGATATATGTTGGAATTTCAGACTCAATACCCAAAATAATCTCTTAATTTGTGGGTGTATGTTGTACCATCATGTCTTTTATATGTACAACAAGACTACTGCTGCAGAAAGAATCACTATTTGAAGAAATCAGTCATTTGAATGGTTAAGTGTTTCAGGTGGGATTTAAACCATTAAGTTTGCTCTGAAGCCCTGAACACTAAAGGGACAAATAAATAATTTACTTTGAGATCCGATGATCCAATTAAGAGAAGCCAGTATGTCCCACTGACCCTAGAACTTGGCAATCATCCATTTGTAGTTCAAGTACAGACTGATCTTAAAGAGCATGAAGTTTGTATACCAAAATGATTGGGTTACATACACTGTCCTGAGGACAACCCCCTCCTCCCTCCACTCATCCCAGCCGCTTACAAAATACTAACATACCAACTCACACACACACACACACACACACACACACACACACACAGACACACACACACACACACAGAGAAGTGTATATATATATATATACACACACACACACACACACACACACACAGTACTGTGCAAAAGTCTTAGTCAGTCCAAAGAAATATTTAAAGCTGTTTATCTGGGTAGCAAGTGTACTTTGGCTTAGAACAAAAAACACAATTTAACATTCAAACATATGCAAATTAAGACTAACACAATAAAAACTAGTAATAATTTAATTTAATAAAAGTTACTGATATCTAGTTGGATGGCTAGATGAACACCACTTCAGTTCCCAAACTTCTCCTCAGGGGCACCTCAGCTGTTCCACGATTTTGTTAAATTTCACCAACAGCTCAATTAAATAATTAAATAAAGTGGTTTAAAAAGTCAGTGACAGATTGACTAGTTGTATGGGGTGAGCTAGTGGCCAAGTCAAAAAATACATGGCTGCACTGGACGGTCGCTGCAAATATATCTTTTCTCCTGGCAGAAGGCTGCACTGCGAGGCAGCTTCTTCCAGGCTCAAAGTTTCTAAGACAGCAGTATGCAAGAATGAGGTGAAACCAGCCATGCAGAGAGCAGGAACAACTTTCTAATACCAAAGATGACCATCAACTTATCTGTCAGTACCTCAAAAATCGGAGGGTGACCTCAAGTGACCTTGAAAAGGAATGAGAAACATTAAGTGGTGTGAAGTGCACTGCTAGGACAATTCATAACAGGCTCCTAGAAGCTGGACTGAAGTCCCGTAAAGCAAGGAAGAAGCCCTTCATGAATGAGAAGCAGGGAAGAACCAGGCTGGAATTAGCAAAAAATTGATATTTTACACAGGTGCATATCCATAAACTGGGAACTGAGTAAAACTGAAAAATTTTCTGTAGTCTCCTAATTTTTCCAGTGCTGTGTATATATATTTTTATATCTCCAACGTATAACCCACAGTCCAAAATTGAATAAATGGGCAAAAGTCTCAAACTGAGGCCTGTATTCACTCACTGAATTTCTAGTCATTTCCTGGATTAGTAACACAAGTGATACATGTAATAGCAAGTAATAACTGAACATTCTTTTAAAAATATAAGTAAAGCTAGAACTGGGGACTCCAAAAACCTAATAGAAACAGATTATCCTGCTCCATTCTGGACAGGTGTCGATTAAAATTCCTTTTGTGATTCCCATGTTAGATTCATGCTTAAATTCCATAGATTAGGGGGATGTACTGCTTCAGATATTAAAAGGGTAAAAAAAATAATCGCACAAAAGAGATTTTATAGATTTAAAGAATAAATATCGATTTTAGTTTTTTTTTCAAGCGCTAGAGGTGATATATTGTCTGTATCAGGAACATAGCCTAATTGATAAAAAAATAGAGACCTGAATGAAGCAACACACTGATATCAAACACTGGCAAGTTGTGAAACAAATGCGAGCCTATTTTTGATCACCGTGATATTATTTGCATGTAGCAAAATGGTTCTTATTGCGTGGTTTTTCCACGAAGACCGTGAAAATGTAAGACGACGATGGCGTTGGTTAAATACAATCGGATTATCATGCAAAGGGGACTTTACGAATGATTTCCGAGTCCGGCTCTTGTCAAATCTTTGTTTTGTCTTGTCAGTCTTCAGGTGCTGAGACGTGCCGTCCTTCTCGCCCTACATTGCGCAGGCGTGATTCCATCTGAGCAGTTGGATATAGAAAGCTGTTGGACGCTATCGTGTTAACCTATTTCTGGAAATGTGAAGCAAGTAACTGTAGGCGGTGTACTTTTTTTTCCTGGAATCGTGTATGAGGAAAACTAAAGCTCTGGGCTTTTTAACGGTCAGTTTCCTGCGCCGACGACACGCATCAACCTGTGGATGGCGTGTTGCATCTAGCGATCGTGCGATAAAGCCGCGGGTTTTATGAAAGGGAGACGACGGCGACACAGGCAGTGCAGCGGTTTCGGTTTATGAATGGCACCGACATGGAGGAGATTCCGTTCCAGCATGTCAAAACACGCAGGAAGCATGGCCACTGTCCTGTCGGCGCCCCGCTGAATGCCATCGCCTGCGAGGACGAGTTTGACTGCAAGGAGCTGGAGTCCCTTTTCCAGATTTACAACCTGAAACTGGAGCAGACGTCCACCCTGAAGGCACTTGCGGTTCTGATCGTGATGGCAGCAACTTTGGCCGTGCTCGAACTGGTCTCCGGTCCGAGTCTGACAATATCCAAAGGGTCCCATCCGCTGCACTGCGTTATCTTCGTCTCCCTTTTCATTGTCACCAATGTCAAGTACCTGCAGGTGACACAGCTTCAACAGATCCTCAAATTGACCTTGCTCTTCAGCTTCACCTTCTCCTTCCTCTGCTGCCCGTTCGCCCTGGGAGCGCACGGCGTGAACAAGCCATCGTCCCCGGAGCAGGGAATGTGGCAGCTCATGCTGGTCACCTTCGTCGCCTATTCCCTCCTGCCCGTGCGGACGCTGTTAGCCGTAGTTTTTGGGATTATGGTCGCCATCTCCCATCTAATCGTGACGGGGACATCAGTCACAGCCAAGAGACAGAGACTGTGGAGGACGGTAAGTGCAGGGCTACTGCTTACTTGGAGGGCATACCTGCGTCCGTCTTTACGTTTGTATGATTGTAGTTTTGAAGTGTGTGTGTGTGTGTGTTTGTGTGTGTGTTTGTATATGTCGTAATCTTCGTTATGCAACGCACTGTGTATGCAATTCTCTCGACTGGTGGGCGACACGACCCCCGACTTTTCCTGGATTTTCTCGGTTCAGCACTTGCAGATGGACAGCGGACGTGCGGAGCCCGGAGCGGTGCGCAGTCTCTCAGCCGACCGGCGTCGCCGCTCTTAAAAGTTTGCGACCTTTAACTAGTTTTATTTCGGAAAATATCTCCTCCAGTTCATGGCTTCTTTAATTGACATTTTAAAATTCTTTTTGTACAGAGATAGTTGTTTAGATATTTCCTTGTAAACCTTAAATATTCCGTATTGAAGCACTGACGCACATGCTTATCATAAATATTAATATTTACAGTCCATATCCTTCAATTACGGACATGAACTGCGTTAAATACATTCAAAGGAACCTGAAACAATTTACAAAGAATTTAATTTGCTTGTCTTTTATGAATCTGAAATACAAAATGTAATATGAATAGCACTGCCGATAAACTGTAATGCCTATAAAGTACAATGAAAGCTTTTATCAACTAGTAAAGTAACAAATATCGCTAAATGCAAATGCAAAAAAAAATATTTTTAAAATTTCTGTCGTGCATGAAGCCTATATGACCATCATATGTAAAGAAATCGAAGAACGTGAAATACAAATAATAAAGGCGTGAGTCATTACTGCTGCAGCACGATTGCCGTTTTTTACTGTACCTTACAAACTACACCCATTATGTAATTTCTAATGTTTAAAAACGGGTCAAATTTCCGCTCAATGATGTAATTCACGCACTGAGTGTTGCGCCAAAGCACACGAATCCACGCCCACCTATTAACGAGTCAGTATGCTGAACGCCTATGCTCCGCTCGCCAACTCCCACGTGGTACGTGTAGCTGGAGGTTTAATAGTTGCATAGTATTTATTATTATTATTATTATTATTATTATTATTATTATTGTTTTGTTGTTGTTTTATAATCATGTTCAGATACGAATGTTCACCAAAAGATATTATTACCTTAAGTAAAATGTCACCTCCCAAAACGATATAGGCTATTGGACATTTTAATGAGTGCACCAGTGCAAATATTGCCAGGACAGAAGCGCTGAGATTGACTATTATTAATTACCATTACATTTACATATTTATTTTAGCAATTATAGAAAAATGTGCATCGTGTAACTGTAAACAAACAGTACAGATGAAAAAAGATGTGCCGATGTGTCAATCCCAAGTTAACTGTCATCTCCGGCATTTTAATTTCCATAGAGAATATATTTACAGTGAACACCCTTGAAGTGGATCTATTTTCTGCAAGTACACTTCATGCTTTAAATGCAGCACTTAGGATTTCGGCAAAATTCCCCTAAGCCACATCAGTGGGAGGGCTCCCCTCCTAAGGAGCTAGTTCACTATACTGTCCCATAGGACTGGAATTCGTCCAGCCTAACAGAAGTGCTGTCTCCCTCATATGAATAGATTAGCATCTTCCTCATATAACCGAACTGTCTTCTCTACTGCGGGAGCCGAATGGCGTCAGAGAATTGAGCTGATGCCCCCCGCAGGGCTTCTAGGTTAAATAAATACCATGCAATGTAAACGCAGACTTAATTAGATCGCTGATCACATTCTCAGCTTGTAAATCCTTGTTTAACTGTTTTTTAACCAGGCACTTTTGAATAAAATTGATATTTTTAACGATGCCCTGATCAAGGAGCCCGTTCACAGCAAGGCAACAGCAATTACAGACAGAACGAGAGAAATTAACACAAAATCAGGGGAACAGAGGCAAGTAATAAGTTAGAGTGGATCGTATTGATATTCAAAAACAACTTCTCAGAAGCTGTGGCAATAGAGGAGGTTCAGGGATTTTGTATCCAGTTCCAGTCTCTGGCTGCAGCAAGAGTAAGAAGAGCAATTTGGGAATGGAACTAAATGTAGTATTTTTAGCTGAATATAATTGGCAGGTCTGGTGTTGAAGGGTGAGGCAGCTGTAGCAAGCAGAAGTTTCTCAGGTATGGCCACATAACACCTACAGTAATAGGGATTTGTGGATGGGGATGGACAGGGTAAATTTTCCACCCAGTGACAACCGATGGAAGAGAGTATGGAGTTCATTGGCTTATAGAGAGAATTAGGTGGGTAGTGGAGGATGTCTGAACAATTAATGGCCCCTTTACATTTCTGTAGATGCAGGGATGATTCTAAGATTTTTTTTCAGGTGGTGACATAAGAGGGGTCATTATTCATACAGAGGGGACGGCCTTATTGTTAGCCAATGATAAGGGTTGAGTCGGTGAGTGACAGGGTTGGGGGCATTCCAGGGGCCAATCAGCTTTAAGTTAGGGCTAGTGCCCCTATGGCTGTACCCCTGTGTAGATGGAATTAGTAGATGGCAAAGTTGGTCAATTGTACCAGGTAATGTAAATAAGGGAGTAAAGGAAAGTTATCCTTCCATCTCAGGTGGGTGAGAGAAATACCCATCCACCTTCTGTACCCACTTATCCTATTCAGCATTTGGGGAGGGGGGGGGGTCTGGAGCCTGCTGCACACAGTGCAGTGGATGGGACCCTTTGGATATGGTCAGGCTCGGACCGGAGGCCAGTTCGAGCACGCCCAAAGTTGCTGCCACCACGAACAGAACCGCAAACTATGGGCAAAAACTCAGGACGGGGCATCAACACCATTCACACACACAAACAATTTGGTAACTGTAGTTCACCATGGCATGTTTTTGTACTGCGGGAGAAACCAGAGTACGCAGAGGAAACCCCATAATGACAAACAGAGAACATACAACCTCCATACATAATGAGCTGGGGTGGAGAATTTGGACCCCAGTCACAGAAGTGTGAGGCAACAGTGCTAACCACTGTGCGACTATGGTGCCGCATGAGACAAATATATTGAATTATTTTTGTTCTATCTGTTCCTTGTTCCTGGTGTCCCTATATATTAAAATACTCTGGTTTTGGACCAGAGGCAGGCTTTGTGCTGCATTTCAATATAACCCTGTAGTCTTTATCTTTTTGTCCTTCCTCACAGAAACAGCAATTTATATCTTTATTTATTCCAAAGGCTTTTTTTGTACCATTCCCTCACTGGTCCCATCCCCCCCTGAGAAGCAGAATCTCCACATGAAACTCCAGCCCCTTCTAAGCCGCCTGTCATGTGATCCTGTTCATGGAGCTGCCCAGTCTTTTCCACAGATGCCTTATTTGTGTGGTAGAACGTAAGCCTTGCAGCTTGAATACAGGGGGGTGAGAAGGAGAGTCTAGCCAGCAAAAAAAAGATACTTATGCAAAGATACAGTCAAAAACTCTTTTCTTTGAAATCAACGGACTGAGAATTCTTTACCAAACAAAATCTTTTGTTACAATTCAGTAGTAGCAAGCAGGAAAAGAGCACAGGGAGCAGGCTGGGTATTTACAGAACATTCTTGAAGATTAGGTATTATGCCCAAAGGATGGACTGGCTAGAGGCAGGAGTGTCTCCATAAAGGCCAATGTGTGAGGTTCTATCTGCCTGAGGTATGTTGTTGAGATAAATAAGAAAATAAATTGGGACCTGGTACAGACACTTGTGGTACCCCATAGCAATGGTTGAGGAATGACATTGTCAGCGTTCACATAGTCCTTGTAAAAAGTTATTAAGCAATGCAGGAGATTGCTTATTGACATCAACGTTCTTCAACCTTCCATGAAGAATCCGATGGCACTCAGGGTCAAAGGTTAGTTTAGTGAATATAGGCATAGAATGCTGGTTGTTATACACGTTATTAATGGCATCACTAAGCACCTTTTTTTGTGCAGTTGGGGTAAAGTTATGACCAGAGTGAAATATGGGCACCAGGCTTGCAGCCAGAAATAAGTTTTGTGGAGTTTATCAATAAATTTTGCCAACTGAGGGGCTAAAGCAAATTTCGAGGGGGTTTTGGACTCATAATTTTATTATCTGGTTACATGCCTGTTGGCTACACATATGAGAGGATATGATAGCTGATATCTGATAAGTAAGTCTAGTTTTTGTCTAATAGAAGACAAACCAGCAAATAATCTATTATTTTAGTTTATCCTTTAATCTTGTGTGTGCATTTTAAAATATATAATAATTCCAGTTATCATATCTCTGCATCCTTGCCCTGTGTATCTGTGTTCTACACCCTGATTTTTTTTTTTGCTCTACTTTGTTAAATGTCACTTTGGTGCAAACGCGGAACCGAAGGAAAAATGTCAGGGCCATGATTCAGTAGCATGTTCACTTCATTAATTTATGCAAACACGAACATGCAATGAATATTTAATAAATACAAGGACGTTATGTCGGTTGTAATGGGGTAGCCTCTGGCCTGACCTGAGTGACTGGAAGTAAACAATTAAAAAAAGTGCAGGGCTCTGTGTTGTGGTGTTTAGAACTCAGTGCAGGGTATGGTGACCTCCACCTTTATTATGTAATGACTCCCATTCTGCGGTACAGTTGGGGGCCAATGCCGTGCTCTTCACAAGTGTCAACCTCTCTGGGGCCTTCGTGAGGATCCTGACCGAGAGGGCCCAGCGGAAGGCCTTCCTGCAGGCCCGCGACTGCATCGAGGAGAGACTCCGGCTGGAGGACGAGAACGAGAAACAGGTGGGATAAACGCATAAGCGGAGACATTCTCACAAACAAGTTAATTATAGCTATATTACATACAGTAGCAATCAGAATCATATACAGGGGTGAGCCCTCAGGGGCATCGAAAAGCTGATTGGCCCTTGGAGTGCCCTGTCACTCACGGATTCACAACGTGTCATTGGCTAATGATAAAGTTGGCTTCCCTGTATGAATTATGGCCTCTTTTATGCCCCCTACCTTAAAAAAATCCACGAAACGGCCTTGGAAACAATATTTGTACAAACATTCAAAAGAAATATTTGGCTTTCATCTAAATACCAGATATTGATTAACAATTAACGATTTAATAAAATTCTTACGCAAATGTTACATTTCCCTTTCTTGAACGATTAAATTTAAGCTACTTGCTAGCCAACACTGACAATTTTCCAGCCCCTTATCTCACTCTCCTTTCAAATATGGGAAAAGTGAGGGAAACCATAAAATAAACCTGTCAAAAGTATTAACGTCGAGTGCCGTATTTCACTGTTTTGTGGGTTAAAGGAGAAAGCAGAAGCATGCTGTAGAACAGCAGCGCGGTGTGGCCAGTCGCACGGGGATTAGTGCCCGTGCAGAGGCCGATTAGCGCGTGACGTCTTTGTTTCCTAATAAGTTCAGAAGGCGACATTTTGACAGGTAATTATTTCAGCAGATTGCTTTTCCTGCCTCTGTGGCTTTCATTAAAGGTCACGCGGTGCTGCCGAACACCGCTGCCGCCGTCGCCGTGATTGGATCTGTAGCGGCACCGTGGCCGCCCCTGTGTTCAGGTGCCGGGCAGACGACCAGTCGTGGTTAATATTCATGAGGCCGACGGGCAACACCAGGCCAGGGGTGATGCGATTTGGAGCTCACGCTTGCTGGGTCTCAAAATCGGAATGCGTGTTCAGAGCTATTAACCAAAGTTGATCGTACTCAAAACAAAAAGCAGGACCTAAAGCACTCTCGACCCCTTAGCTGTAGGACAAGGGGATTGAGCTTAAGAGTGTAAAACGTCTTAACACGTCAACAGAGTCTTTGAAAAGACCTTGGCATGTAGTTGTAGTTAATGCAAATATTTGGTTCCCCTGCCCAGCTCAGTGTGTAAAGTTTATATGTTCTCCCCCACATCATGATGGGTTTTCCTTTGGCTTCCCCAGTTTCCCCCCACAGTTGAAAAACATGCTTATGTGAATTGAAGTTGCCAGGTTGTCTGTATTGTCCAAGAATGTGTGTATGAATGGTATGTCTGCCCTGAGATGGGTTCGCACCCCATCCTGGGTTATTCTCTGCCTTGCGACCATTGCTTCCAGGATAGGCTACGGACCCCCGTATAGGACAAATGGCATGGAAAACGAATGAATCATTGTCCGATAATATTCATTGAACTCCTTGGCTGACTCCAATTATTTGTCAGCACGGTACATGATGTTAAAGACCAAAGACGGCATTAGGGAACATGGATATGAAAACAGCTGCTGGTAGAAGGGCCATTATGAGCAGGGAGTGTTTGCATTCAGAGTCCAGAAGTTGTACCTTTGAATGATGTCCCTTAATTGCATGAGTAAAAATATCTTGTTCTATTAATTTATAAAAGCTTCACGTCAGTTTTGATGGCGCTATGAGTTATGAGACAAATCAGCGATGATAAGGAGGGGGTGAGATGCGCAGATCATGTGATTATATGTATGCATCTTGGCAGAAGATTTGAGCTTGATGGCTGAATGTTTCTCCCACCCAATCAGGGGGCTGGGATGGGAAGCTTCATCAACGCTAATTATCAGTCCCCTCTACCCCCTCCAGGAACGTCTCCTGATGAGCCTGCTGCCAAGGAATGTGGCCATGGAGATGAAGGAGGACTTCCTGAAGCCACCAGAGCGTATCTTCCACAAGATCTATATCCAAAGGCATGACAATGTCAGGTTAGTCTGAATCTTCCCTGGAGGTTCTCAACACCTCGACACAATCTGATGGAGAAAGTCTAACTCAGTCACAAGACCTAGAGGTTCTCAACAACTTTTGAAGATGCCCAGCTTAGTCACCTGACCCAGAGGTTCTCAAAACCTGTTGAGAAGGTCCAATTCTGTCCACTGACCCAGTAGTTCAAAACATTCGCTAAGTAATTCCATTTCAAACCATTGGTCCAATTCAAAGCAAGTTGCAAGTGTTTGAGGTCTTTCCAAAGCTCAACTACAGCACTGAGACCAATTGCTAAATCGCTATTGTTTGTTTCATGGAGTGCTTGAACGTTGGGTTAAACTGAAACTGTGAACATTACAAGGCTGGCACCAGTGCCATAAAATCCTAAAAGCCATAGCGACCAGAAATAAAACCCTAACGAGCAAAATCCAAGTGGGTCCCTGCTGGATTGTTTCCACCCTTCTTTGTGTGTTATCTCAACCAGCAGGACCTGAGCAGGCCCAGTAAAATGACTTCCGTCTGCCCCGTTAATGGAAGCACCGAGCTGTTGGTCCAAGCTGCTGTACCCAGACGTAACCGAAACCTGACAGTAAGCTGTGGGGATGCCCCGAGTTCCCCCTGACAAATGAGCTGGAGCAGCAAACTCCTCGCTTTCCTCAAGCCTGTAAATCACCCGTCTCAACATCAAAAAGAAGCACAGGGCTGTCTGGTAGCTGTATGCTGCATTTAATTGGACGCCTCTTCCTCAGCATTCAGAACATGCGCTCCGCTGACCCCAAAAAGAGCAGCGAAACAACTCCATTCAGCTCACGAAATTGCCTCCGACTCATTTCAGTGATGTTTAAGCCTCGGACATGAAAGCCACGGTCAGCATAATGCGTGTTCCACGTGCAAGAATCGTTTCTGCATTCCAAAGCCAGCTATGGGAACAGGATGTCATGCCAAGGGCGTCGGCCAATGGATCCACAAGAAGAATGCAAAAAAAAAAATCACTGTCAATATTGAACAAACACTCCTTTAGCAGCTCCGTGAAGGACCGTCGGGTGTAAATGAACCAACGCTGGGATGGTTAAGGAGAAGGTTGATTCAGAAGGTTCCCGGAAGCTCAGGTTGCAACCCCATGGGTGTGAGAAGAGAATCGCTTAGTTCTGTTGAGCCCTCCAGCAATGTGTTTAAAAAGTCATGCTCCTACAAGATGGGTCACGGGGAAGGATGGAAACATCTGTGATGGAGTCAGTTACAATGAAACACTTCTTTTCTGTGTAACAGCTTCTAAGTAAAATAGAGGAGGCCGCAGACATGAGCAGTATAGACATTTAATTTTTGTGTGTGTAAAGAGAGAGCTGGAACATTCTTCAGGTTCTCATGGCTACATGATCTACTCATTAAAATTTGGGATGCATTTGTATCATGTTAAATTCATCTCTCTGTCACACCACGAGCGTGCACTTATGAAGCTTCCCCTCCAAAAATCTCAGTGTCCCTGGAATCGGATTTCCATGATGACGATCTAGGTTCTCTTCCGGGCATCGTATGAGAAGCCTCAGCGTATTGGAACTGCTTGTAATGCTGAAAGTACAAGAGGAAGAGGAATACAAGCAACATGGATACAAATACAATCTTCACAACAAAGAATGTGCCCCCAGGAAGCATGGAGACCCAGGCAGGTGGCAGAAGTTTCTGGAATGCTGTCTGTATGGTCACCAGGATTCCATGCCAATTTGACAGCACCTTATAATAATAATCTCTCTCACGTCACTGGGGACATTCTCTCACCATGCTAAATACTCACGAGTTCCATTAACAGCAGCAAAGGAACAGTAATGACACTGCCTTTAATCTCCAGCATACGGGGCACGACGTCTAAGAAGTCTTTTCTCCGCTTTCAAAAGTGTACACTATGAGAAAATTGTTATCAAATTAAATCTGTAAAAGGTGCACAAAGGGCTGAAGATTTCAGTTAACCTTCTCCTGGTGTCCACTTGCCCTTTGTCTGGTTTTTTTTGCTGCTGACCCTCAAAATGCTCTTCATTTCTGGCTGGAGATAGTGGCTAGGTGAATCTCAGGCCATGCAGTGAGAGGGATGCCAAAGATGATTGTTGCTGAGTGTCAATGACCTGTGATACGACGCCATGGTGAAGAGCGTTGCCTTTATGCATGCTGGCCCATCTTCAAGATCTACAGCTAATATCAATATATATGTTTTCAAATAAATTTTCACCAGCCAGGTCATGTACCCTTTCCCATGATATGTGGAACACCTATGTGGAAACTCCAGACAAACCAGTAGATGTTATCAGCTGATCTTAGTTAGGTGTAGTCTGCATCTAAACATCTCTAGACCATTTTCAGGGCCATCATTAGCAGGACATGTGTAGCAACATTTTCAAACCCCAGCTGACAAAGTAATTCACCCAAAGAAGTCAATCTGGCTGAGGAGTGAGGAGCACCTCTCACCAGCCGAAATACACCAAAGAGCTGTTATGTTCCCACAGACGTCCAGAAAACCCCATGAAGACCGGCAAAGTTTGAGCTGCAGTCCCAGTAAACATTTAATACCGTGCAGGTGCGCAATTAAACATATTACCTCCAAAATCTTTAGACCTAATACCCTGAAGTGCATGAAACAAAGACATCCTCTTAAGATCCAGCTTTCAACTTCTGAGGAAAGCTACTTAAAGTAGCAGCCATATGTTAGTAGGTGTCCATTTAATTACTGATGCACTTTCATTGTAGCATGAAGAAGGCGAGATGTTATGCCCTCCAAATCTGGATGCCGTGGATGGGCCACATTCATTTCACAAGGCCTGTCAACAGCACTGAAGAGATTCTGGGGATAGCTAAGTAGTCAGTGGTTTGCTCTGTTGGCGTATTTGACATAGGGCTGGTGAAATCGTAGCACAAAAGCTCTTTACTGTGCAGCCTAAAAGTTGTACTCACATGTCGATATCTTTGGTGCACTCTGCTGTAATATGGTCTTTAAAGAGCTTCTAAACTGATGGGATTTTATCCAGATTACAGCTATATAAGAGCTATCATTAAACAAAGCGATGTACAGCTCTTGTAAGAATCCTAACTGAAAAGTTTAGATCATATCAGTTTGTTTGTCATGGGTTTTCGAACAGTACAGTACCAGTAAAAAGTCTGGATACACCTGCTTTTAATGCATTTGTCTCCATTTTAGCTTATAATGAAAGGCCTTGAGGCAATGTAATACATTGTACAAAGTAATACATATCAAATATCTATGACAGAATTGCAGACTCGTGCCATTCTTTCATCCAGCTTCTAGATGTAGCCACATGGAATGGTTTTCCAGCAGTCACAGTCCTAAATCTAGGCAGAAAGTGGCTACCTCTTACTCTTCAATCCTACACATCCCAAACCGGATCTATAGGGTTTAGGTTGGGGGTATTAGGGGCCAAGTCATCTGTCACAGCACTCCATCATTATCCTTGTTCACAAGATAATACTACATAACCTTGAGGTGTTCATAGGCTACGTTCACACTGCCAAATCAAATTTTTTGCCTTAATGTGACACAGATCTGATCTTTTTAGGGCTATGTGGACACGCAAATCTGATCTTTTCAAATCAGATTTGTGTCACTTTCATATGTGGTACTAAATCTCATACGTATCCGATTCGCGGCCATGCGACCTGAATGTGACGCTCAGATCGGAATTCATGTGGCTTTTTGCTTATACGCATACGCTGACATCATCAGCCTGCACCGGCTGCGCGGGAAGGTAAAAATGGGGGAGAGCTGCGATAACAGTCAGTGGAAGGATGCAGAAGGTGGGGATTTAATTGATATTTGGGGAAATTAATCTGTTCAAGTTAAACTGGAAGGAGCCTATCGTAATAGAATGGTAATTGAAATAATTGCCAAAGAAATGGCACAGCGCGGACACGAACGTGGCTACAATGCCAAAGAAAAATAAAGAGCCTGAAGTCAAAGTTTAAGGAGGCAAAAGACTCGAATCAGCGCAGCGGTCATGGCCGCACAACGTGCCAATTTTACGACCAGCTTTTTACCCGTGTAAAAACGTATCAATGTGCGCATGCGTGATGTTTCGGAGGACCGATGCGTTCACATTACAGTCAGATACAGATCACTTGTAGTTATGAATGTGAACTGTCAAGATAGACAAATCCGATCTGAGCAAAAGATCAGAATTGAACGATGTGGCTGGCAGTGTGAACGTAGCCTTAGGGTCATTATCCTGTTGAAAAACAAGTAATTTTCAGTAGCTGTGCCTAGACATTTGACTGGGACTGTAAGTGTATATAGCTCTCCACCCTAAACTAATTGACATGTTTGGTGAACAATGCACAACTGTCCAGCTGTACAAAATCACAAGTAAAAACTGGACCTTTATTGGACAATTATGCTGGCATTTTTCATACAAATCACATTAAACAGGTAAACATTTCTTATATGGATAGAAGTGTAGGTTGTGGATCAGCATGTGGTTGGAGTGATGGAGTTTTATATTAGAACATCACTGAGTGGATTTAGAAATCCGGCTGGTTTCATAAACAGGATCAGCATGATGCCAAGTGTTATCTAAGCCCATCACATCTAATCTCAATCCATAACGATATTTACTGTTTATCATCCCCCTCTTAGGTTTTGACAGCAACCGAAGCAGACGGTCCAAGAGAATTTTGCACATATTACATTGGCAGCATTAAAAAACTGAAGAAAGCGGTTTCCAAAAAATCATAAACATATGAAATGTATAATGTAGAGGCTGGTGCTGATGTTTATCGGGTGTGATATATTTCCACATGCAGTTCAGATCCTTAATGATGACAGTGTCTAGGACCTAATACTTTAACCAAAGACCTGTGGAAGTTTACTCAACACAGAGATGTTCAGCTCCAATATGTATTCCTGTTCTTTAGTTGGCATATATAAATACTCACTTATTTATTCATTTGACATTTGACATTTTGCAGGACCACCTGTCACATTACTGTAAGTTGCACATTAGTTATGCTTGTCTCGGCATAATGCTTTGTGTTTTATGGGGAGACTGGGGATAGTTGTTGAATGGGGTCAGTTGTTATGCAGTAATCTACGTAACTGATTCCCCTAAAGACCACTTATATTTACTAAACTAGTACAGCTTTACTTAGAAAGGAATACATGTTTTTCTGTTGTGTCGTTTTTCTACATTTTAGCAAAATGAAAATGGAAAAAAAAATGACAATTATCCCAGGTCTCCCTTACTTATGTCTTGGAGAGCAACATGACAGCATTCAGCTGCACACTCGACTAGGTATAACTGCGTAGGTGACAAATAAAACTTTGATTGATTGGTTGGTTGACTGATTGATCGAAGGTATTGCACGGTGGTTCCCCCGCTCTCTGCAGCATCCTCTTCGCCGATATCGTGGGCTTCACCGGTCTGGCGTCCCAGTGCACCGCACAGGAGCTGGTCAAGCTGCTCAACGAACTCTTCGGCAAGTTTGACGAGCTGGCCACCGTGAGTAACAGCCTTGATCCCCTCTCCCTGCTCTCCGCGTCCAGCGGCGGAGTTACGGAGTTACGGTGTCGGACCGATGCTGTTTATAGCGCAGGAGGGCACGTTAGCAGATCAGCTGTGTCTGGCTATTTAATTACTTTGTGGTTGTCTGCTGTTTTGTTTTTCGCCACTCTTATCAAAACGAGATTATTAAATTGTGCGGCGAAGGGGCGTATTTAATATAAGGCACGTATTTAGTGAACCGTAAATCCATAAAAACGCAATCTTGAAGCTCCCCACGGTGGCTATTTATGCTAAATTTCTGCAATCAAATTTGCGTGTGTGTAATTGTGTGTGGTGTGTGTGTTAGTGTGTATGGTGTGTGCGGGCTTGGTGTGTGTGTTTGTGTGTGTGTAAGTATAACTATGGTGTGTTTGGTGTGTGTGTGTGTGTGTGTGGTGCATGTTTTTTGCCGTGTGTGTGTTGTGTGTGTGTGTGTTTATTGTGTGAATGTATATCTGGTATGTATGTGTGTGTTTGGTGTGTGTTCACAGTGCTTGTTGTGTTTGGGGAGTATTTGGTGTCTGTGGTGTGTTTGCTGTGTGTGTGTGTGTGTGTGTGTGTGTGTGTGTGCGCTGTAATATCACACTGACAGAATGCGTATCTATTCATAGCATCCAGGACTCGAGGTCGTATCCTTTCACCGGAGGAGATGAAGCCATATCTTTAATCTTTTAGACGCTTGTGTTTGTGTTTGGGCACACAGAGCCTCCTAAGTCTGAAGAAAAAAACAGTAATAAGGATATATAAAGGAGAAATAGTGATGTTCATGCCCACTCTCTGACCAGGATCAGCAGTTAGATGGTGGATGGATGGATGGATGGATGGATGAGTGTTTATTATGCTGCAATAATATGTGACGCCATTTAATGCTGTGTATCATTACAGTAAGCATAGTGGATTATGCAAATTAACCCAAAGGCACTGTTGACGAAAGCAAAACGCTCATTTCTGCATGCTATGTGCTCCATTGCTAATTAAACATTTTACATTGAGCCATTTAATAATAAAGATCGTCTCTGTGCCGCATCATTATGAGAGAGCGAGCGGCTGGCCCTTGTTAGGAATCGGAGATGCCAACACCTTGGCAACACCTTACTATGGTTATGAAAGCACTGGGAGACTTATGCCGTTGGATGTTTCACATTGTGGCACCTCACCCTGGGCTCTACTTTTCCCTGTGATAAGACCCAGCACATTTACTTAAACCAAAAGCTTCTAAAGTAGGCAAAATGTTTAACAAGTTTTATTCTTAGGTTTACTGCATCCTGGGCTGATGCATGGTTCAGCCGGTTAGGGTGCTGTGTCTGTGATTGGAAGGGTACTGGTTCTAATTCCATCGCTGGCTCATTGACTTTACTGTTGGGTCCCTGAGCAAGGCCCTTATCATCCAATTGCTCCTGGGGACCGTCTGACCCTGTTTTTTTTTTAAAGAAAAGAATGTATGTCACTTTGGACAAAAAGGAGCATAAATAAACGAAATGTAAAATTAGCTGGCCTGCATTTCAATCCAGTCTAATAGTCTTAATCGATTAAATGATTTCAGGAAGAGAAACATGTATCACTTTGATTATGAGCTGCACAAAATCCGCTTATTCTGAGACAGAAACATATTTTAGCCAAAAACTGTTTAATTACTGCTGTTTTAACTTTCAAGAGCATTGCCTTTAATTAAACAAGTGGTTAACCTACAAACATCGTGCCTGGTTAATGTGCCAGTTGAATAGCTCAATTAGAAGATTGCTTTAAGGAAAAGGACTGAAGGCAATTATGCTAATAGACCCCAACTTTTTGAGGGGGTGATATATTCTTTGATAATGACCTTATTGTAGCCAGTTTAATCCTCTTTTTTGCTTTTAATTGCAGTCATGCATTTTAAAATGATCAGCCACTTTGCTGGTGTAAGTGCTTAGAGGTTGTGGCCCAAAGCTCCCACACCCCCAAATCCCATCCGAGATTCTCCCCCCACTCCCAACTCCTCTGTGAGACCCAGGTTTCTGTTAGGAGACCGGGGACACAGGTGGGGCATTATATCATACAGGGCATCCACACACACAGAAGGGCATTGAGTCACCTGAACATAGACCAATCCAGTACAATAGCTAATTACTCCAATTAATTTAGTTATTGATTTGTTGCCTGCTGAAACAATCAGTTTGCTACAGATGGATATCTCACTGGAATAGGTTGGCTATAGGGTACAACAAAAGGGGTCTTCGGGGACTTAACATGCTTATTTTGTAGAAATATGTAGCTGATGCATCTATGCACAGCAGGTGGTGTATTTCTGGTTAACTGCACATGCTTAGGAGTACTACATTTGGCAGCACTGGGACTTAAACTAGTGACCTTCCGGTTGCACCCCACTACATTTGATCCCAGCACAGGTCTTTGCATTTGAGGACAGGTGCCTTGGCTTTTTCTTTTTGCGTAAAATATTTATACTACATTGTAATGATTTCTGGTCGATTTGCACCCTATTAAGGCATTAAGTGTGTCCTTCCATGTAGGGAAAATTCCAGTATTTTTTTTTCTTTTTCGTTTTTTTTTTTTTTTTTAAATCAGTGAAGCTCTTCTGATGTTAGGAGCTATGAAACTACTTGATTAGACATGGTGGCTTTTCTGACTGTCTTAGGAGCTCACCGGCCTGTTTCCTGTATATAATCCATGTATCCATCAATACATCTTCTAACCCCTTATCTTGGTCGGGGGCACAGGGCCCGTGGGGACGCTTTGGGTGACATGCTGTATGTAATGGTGATGGAATATAATCACACATGTGATGTCTGTACATGTGAGCTACTAAATCTTCATGTATGATGCCTCAGCGTGTACATAATCCCTGTGTGCTTGTTACATTTTTTTCTGGCATTTTGAGTTGCAAAATAATTTGGAGGGGTTGCAAGATCATTTTCTGAACATGCTGATGTATGTCTCCCCTCTCCCCTCCAACCCCCCCACCATGCACTACAAAATTTATCGGTATTAATCCATTAGAAAATATTATCACCTTAGCTTGTGAATTTTATCGAAAGGGATCATGAGACTTCGAGAGGAGTGTCGCTGCAGTAATGGCAGTGGTCTCCTCTGGTGGTGTGCTGTTTAATTAGTTTTAGTGCCGATTAGGTGATTTGGTGCTAACGCAGCTTTTGCATTCATTAGCTTTCTTTCGGTCCTGAATTTGCATGCCGCCTGGGAAGAGAGTCCTTTATTTGTGAGTAATCTGACGTGTTAAAAGTGGGGTTTTTAAGAGCCTCACCTGGAATCAGTTTCATCGGAGATTACTCACAGATGCCCATTAAGAAACTGAAGTTTGGATGTACGGAGGATATAAATAAACGTGAGATGAAACCTTGACATGGATCAGAGCGTAGGAGCCTGGCTTAGCGATCACCAGTGGAGAGGGAGGGGCACTCAGGTGTCACGTGACACGTCATGTGACTAAAGGCCCTATGGATCATACTGATGCTGTATAGCTTCAAACAAGAACATGATCTTTACATTATAATCTGTTTTACTTACCAGCTATATAGTTAGATCCTTAATGAAGCAGTTTAGCTTTATTGTGACTGTCAGGGTTAAGAGCGATAAATCTTTGGACTATTTATCTAGCGATGCCTGAGATTTTGGAAGTTTTGTGATTATAAAAGGCCACAATAAGATGCTCCTCTTATAGCTGGTTGTTTTTCTCCCTGCAGTTTGACTGTTATTCTTGGAATAAGCTTTCGGGTTGGCAGATGGATATGCAGCTCTATACATTCATACTCCCCGATTCTCTCAAAGCCCCCGCGCGCCTGTGAGCCGCCCTCCCCGCCTCCCTGCCACACATCACTCATTGGCACGCTGGCTGAGCGGCGAGATTTAGGGCCTGCCACTCCGCCTCGCCCCCCGTGTTTATTTTTAGGATGCGTGCAGATCCGCCCGGGACACGTGAGACCAGACCGGTGCCTCAGGGCCGTTTTGTAAATCATGCTCGCCTGCTGTCCGGTGCTGTGCCCTCCATTTAGGGGCTTATATAGGGGAGCACTTACATGAGCTGAAAGTTGACTGGCCCCCGGAATGCCCATTCCCTGTCACTTACTGATTCAAAACATATGATTGGCTAATAATAAGGTTGGCCCGCCTGTATGAATTATGGCCCCTATTTTGACTGCCCCCTTATGGCCGCCCCCCTTATGAGCGCCCCCCCTTAAGGCCGCCCCCCCTTAAGGCCGCCCCCCCTTAAGGCGGCCCCCCCTTATGGCCGCCCCCCCCTTAAGGCCGCCCCCCCT